ATGAAAATTATACTACAGGAAAAACAGATAAATTCCCAGGTTAAGTACGAATACAAAAATCTTAAACCATATAAAGGATTATCCAAAGTTCATCCAGCCCTCACACTTAGAGGAGCCTAAAACAGAGACTTTTTGCATTCAGTGCATACTTTTTAAATAAGAAGATTTACCCACGAGGCAAATTATCTGAGTAGTCTGGCACTGTCTCAGTATGCTATCATGTCTTGCTCTCCTACATATCAAAGTCCTTTCCTTCCAGGTTGCTTAGAGCAGAGGACAGACTACGAACAGGTTGCCTACCCACTGTATCCAGACTGGGCTGCATGTAACCCAGGGGAGGCACAGTTGAAGTGCAGGAAGAAAATATTTTTTTGCATTATTAATAGATTAAATTTTAAAAATATTAGTTGTGGTTATTTCATCTTTTTTTAATTTCTGTATTTGTATATGTTTTACAATGTACTTAATTTATTATTACAGTAGTACTTATATATAATTTACCAATAAATATACACCTATTGAGAATATGTGTTTAAAAATATTTTACTGATTATTAAAAAGCAGTGAATACATTTAATGCTTGAAAATACCTTTACCCACAGACCCAGCCTGAAAAATTAGAGTTTAAGAAACTGATACTTCTTAAGCCTGGCTGAATTTGGCCTATCACCACTCCTGATTTTAGGAAAATACAGGGGCACCTACACCTCATTCCATCATATTATACGTTTAGCTTAACTAGTCTTCATGCTATATGCTTCTAAATGCTCTTGATCAGCTTGTGTATAAAGATGATTACTCAAACAAATAATCCAAAAGTATGAAAAAAAATATTCAAGACTCTTTACATAATATGTCAGTTCATCACAGGGCTCCCATTTTGCTGTATAACACAGAGGAGAACAAAAGGTCAAAATACGAATGTTTGAAAACTCTGAGTATGAGAAAAGTAAAAAACCCTTCCATTTCCCTAGTATGTGACATTCTCTAGACTCCCTTTTGAATTCATTTTCAATATCTTGCAATAACTAGTTTCTGAGAACCACAAGTAACCTCAGAAAAATGCTTTGGCTTTAAAAAAAAGAACTAGAAATCTAATGGGAAGAACTATTATTGTGTAACTTCCAACCCAAACTAAGAGATACAGGTGGCTTGGATCATCCTTACAAGCATCAGATTAGCCTTCAGTTTCAGATGGTTATATTAGTTTAGCCTTGGGATGTGAAGACATATTCCTAGCTCAGTTTAAATCAGTGGGAATTTTGCTGTAGACCCCAAGGGGCCCTTACCTTCCACAGTTTTGCCTTAACAAGATATCAGCACTTGCCAAAAACTGTATGGTGATTTATTTGCAAATTATTGCTAAAAATATTAGGCTTAACATTCAAATTTTCAGGTGCTATAAATCAGTGTAGCTCCAGAACTATGCCAATTTAACCTACTTGAGGATCTACCAATGGGATTTACCCCATTTAAGATCATTCATAGCAGCAAAGTGATTAATTTTAAAATCTTCCTCATTTTACATGGCAGGCAGTCACAGCGGTTTCACCCACGGCTACTGCATTTTTGCGGCTATAATCTTCAAAACAAGTAAACCCATCCTTTCAAAAATGTATTATTCCTTAAAAATAAGTATCCAATTAACCTACTTTTTTCTTTATTCCGTCCTGGCACCACTGAGAAATTATATGCTATATATTTGCAAATGCAAACATGCCTTTGCAAGACTGCTTACAACATAGAAACTTTGAGTTACACTGGTTCATTTCTGCTAAAAAGTTGATTCATATTAGCTTTTAGCACAAGTTTGTATTGCTTATTATCAACTAGGCATACGTGTGCAAGATCATCTTTCAACCCCCTTTTTTCAAAAAGCTCTCTAAAGTAAATTCAAGTCATTTTTACTTGATGCAGTACTTGCATGATAAGAGAGAAATTTGCCACTTGAGGACTTAGACATTTGGGCTTAGAAAGAGAGAAAGGAAAAGAAAACCGGAATTGCAACTGGGAAGTAGCCTCTTCCCCTTGTTGCTTCTATAGGTGTATATTTATTTCACATTACTCCAGGGTAGAAGAAGGAGGTTCTTCTAGCTAGCCTATGAGTATTTAAGAAATGTTAGGAAATTTTAGTATTTGCCTTATTTTAGAATAATACAAAGCATTTGAAAGTCAAAGATTAAGCAATGTAAGATGAGGGAGAGCAAATCCATGTCGTACATATGAGCTTGCATTGCTGTAGTGACTTGTTGGACTAAAGCTCAAATAATGCAAGATAACATAATGTAAAAAAAATTAAATCAGAATATCACTGCCTAACTTAATGAAAATTAATTATCAGGTAGGAGTTTACAGCACTAAAAATTCTTGTTAATTGTTTCACTGTATCTTGATTTTGGATAAATATTAATTACTGTACTGTATAAAAGCATTAGCAATCTAGATACAAAATAGATATGTGAAATTTTAAAAATCTTCACCTGCACCTCCTCTCTCTAGGATTCCATCTAGCAAATGTTTTTCAAATTTTTAGCAAAAGGTAGGAGTGTCCAGAAAGTGATATCTTTTACTACAAAACTTGTTTCTTCAACTTCTGCTCTGCTATAATATCTTCTGAGTCAAGTTCTTTTTACTCAGAAAAAAAACACATAAAATAAAGTAATTATCCAAGCCTATAACTATGCAAGTGCTGTGTGAAATAAATTGTTGAAGATGGTTAACTTTCCATTGGTTTCCATGGAGCAAGGATTGTAAAATAGCATAAAATAATTTGGGTTGGAAGGAACCCTTGAAGATCATCTTGTCCAACCTCCCTATAATGAGCAGGGCATCTTCACCTAGATCAGGCTGCTCCAGCCTGACCATGAATGTCTCCAGGGATGGGGCATCCAACACCTATCTGGGCAATCTGTTCCAGTGTTTCACTTCCCTCATCATAAAATACTTCCTTATATCTAATCTGAACCACCCTCTTTTAGTTTAAAATCATTACCCCTTTTCCTATCACAAGATGCTCTGCTAAAAAGTTTGGTTTCATCTTACTTATAAGCCCTTTTCAAGTATTGAAAGGCTGCAATAAGGTCCAAAATATTTCCCAAATTGTCCCTGAAATACCTGCTAACTTCCATGGAATTACAACAGCAGTAACTTCAGTAAGCAAGTATTGATGGGCAAAATAATGGAAAAACATCATCACTCTGACTGTCACCAAAGATACATTTGCCAATAAGTTTCGCATATCTGAGGATTTATGTGGTACATATACTGCTGAACTCTATGATCAGCTAAACAACAAAACTGCAAGTCAGGAACACTCCATCCCCGTTTTTTTTTTTTTTTTTTTTTGTAAAGGAAGAGCAATGAAGAAAATTTGTTAAGAGATGTGAAACTCTAGCTTCAGTGTGAATTTTTAGTGTAAATCACCTTTTTCTTTCTTAGTATATGCACATGTTCAGTATCTTCAGTGATATGTCAAGATGCTGAGTTAGTTCCTCACTCATTCGACCCTATCTCCCACTGTCTTTCTCTTAGAGTAATCAAGCTCTACCTAAAATAGTAACCAGATTTTTTGCCCATTTCTGTTCCATTAGAAGGCTCTTGCCTCACTGCTTTAGTAGCTGGAAACCTCTTTACAGGTCCCAGGTGAAATGTACTTAGGGCAGTTCATACCTATTTTTCTTGCACTAAAGTCATCACTGAGGAAAACAATTTCTCTTTCTTATGATCTCAAAGGAAAAAAATCACCTTCAGACTTTGTCTTGTTTGTCTAAATGAAGCAAATGCTAGTTGCCTTCTCTCATAAAGAAGCTGCTTTCCTGGACATATTAGTGCTAGCTTTCTCCTGTGTTCCCATTTTCCTGAACACAGATGACTAGAATTGTACCCACAGGTCTAAATAAGATCCAAAAAATGTAACAGAGATATCTAAAATGGCATGAATGTATGGCATGAATGTTTCCTTGTCTATCTTATCTATCCTGTTATGCGCTCTCTGTACCATTGTACCTTGATAGATATGGTTTTGGGTCACATTTGCCGTTTTTACTGCCACATTACTTGGATGGTTTACATTTAATCCTTTGATTAACCTCTCTCTATGTAGAACACAGTATATCTGGTTTGGGGTTTTTTACACCTTGTATAATTAAATTTATTTCATGGTAGAGATTATTAATGTGTGCTTCATTCAATATGCATTTCAATACTGATGTGCATGTTTAGTTAAGAAGTATTATCTAAATATTTCTCTGAGTGGCTAAACTGAAATATTTTTTGTGATACGAAAGGTCTTTTATTATTTGTATCATTTATTTTATTACTTGGTTGTTTCTGGTTCTTTACAACAGCTGACAGTGACTCATAATTCCCTCATGACATGTGCAATATCACTAAACCTGCTACACCTCAAGTTATTTGAACAAACTAAAAGGCCATTTCAAAAATTAAGAAATTCTACTGACTTCTGTGTAGGTCAACTATCCAGAGGTAAGATCTCTCACATGCTTATAAAAAGTGTGAAAAAATGAAAACTCTAATAAACAAAAAGTTTTAGAGAAGAACAAAAAAATATTATTCTGAGGTAAACTGACAAGGATACTCTCAGCAAGAAGTAAGATGATACATCTTTTTGACTCAGTTGAAGACAGAGGCCAATTTCCTATACATTTTGCTAGAACAAGGATTATGAATTGTGGTCCAAGTTATTCTAGATGTATTTGCTGATTTCCCTAGTATGACAATAGCAAGGAATAGTTCCAGTAAATGTAGCTGCCATTAAACTAGAGAAAAATGAGCCTTACTTTCTCTAACAACATCCCAAGACCCATATTGACACACATTGCTCCAAAGTTAAAGACTTCAGTCAGTGGCAAATAAATATAGTGATATCAATCTAGTGATATCTACACATTGTTTTGATATCAGATAAGAAATTAGTTTTTAATTTGCTGCAGTGAATAAACAAAGTATTGAGTGCACAAAGCTAAATTGATTTCACTGACCTTGAAGCTGGCGTCCTTTGTACAAATCTTTTGTTTTTGTTGGGTGAGCTCTGGCACCATTATCACATTTAGGTTGTTCATACCTAAAGAACAAACAGGAAGAGAATAAAACCGGTCAAGGTTAATTTGATTCAGAATGAATTTATTTCCAATTTTGTAGTCCAAACAGAACTCGTACCTTCTTATATTCAAGGAATAATCCTGTTTTTCACTCAGAAGGGCAATGCAAACTGATCTGCCTATTTTTCATTTACCTCAAATAAACCACTACATCTTTATTCTCCTGGGGTTGATGTCAAACTAAAAAAATATTATGTATTCGAAAGGCCATTCTACAGGGCAGAAAACTAAGCAACTGTTATAAATTAATTTACAATAAAAAATTCTTTTGAAAAATACGCCAAAGAAGAAAATCAAAAAAATGTAAGGCTGTCCCCCTACCTAACCTACAAAACCAAAAAGACATAAACAATATGACAAATAGTATTCATGCTGGGAAACACCAGAGAAACAACTTCAAAATCACAGCAAGGCAGGTACTCTATTTAGATAGTGCTGCAGCTCTAAAACCATGTGCTTAAGTATCTCCTAAAAAAAACCAAACAAACAAACAAAAAAAAAACCCAAAAAAAAACAACAAAAAACAAACAAACAAACAAACAAACAAACAAAAAAAAAACCACCCAGGAATTTAAGTAAGGACTAGCCATGAAGAGCTAACATTCTGACCAAGAGCAAAGAACTGAAAGGATTTCTACCAGAAGGGAATTTGCCTGGAACTGCTTAAATGAATTGAGAAAAAGACTCACATGCTACTGGAATATTCTGGCTCTTCTATGCTTACTGAGTTTACTTAAAGCCACTTTGTTCATTGAACTGGTAACAAGAAACTGTGCCATTTGTACGTCCAATAAACATAGACTTATGCAACACCACTAGAAATATCTTGTATGCAAGACAGGGGGACATGGGAGCACCTGGTGTCGAATTTCACCTTTTTTTATGTCTCTCCATCACTGCATGGCAGACTTCACTCAGATCAGCACAATCTCTTCCTGAGAAATTTTACTGTCATATTCTCCTATTGTAGCTGGAAGTTGCAGCATTTAGCATGCAGCATTCCAGACAAAGTTTCAATTCTCAGATAAACAAACTTAATAATACGAATTATGCCCACGTACATGTGTGTGCACGTACATACCTGTTCACTGAATCTAGATTCTTCCATTTTTTATATAACCAAAATTCTCCTATTCTAAGTCTATCAAAATGTCATTTACTGAGTGGCACACTGAAATGTCTAATTAATATATACTAATCTAAAATTTTGGAATATCATATTCTTTCTAAAAACATTAAACGGTAACTATGTCTTGGGTCCAGGCCATACTGTTCCTAAGATCAATGCCTAAATATTTTGATCTTAATTATCAGGCAATAAGAAACCCCAATATTATTTTCCCTTTGAGGACTTTATATATTTCTACATCATCTGATGAAACTGACCACTGTTTCATCAAGTTTTGTTTGCTGCAAGAAGATACAGTGCTGTTTTCAGGGACATGGGAGAGCTAGAAACTCTTTTTCCCCTCAAGAATGGCAGGAATAGAAGGTGCTTTGATAGCATGGATTGGATTCAGATACCTGATGGATGACCACTTCAATCCACCAAGAAAACAGTGAAAGGGAAATTAGTGAGCAATACTCACTAATGCAGTACCTGGCAAACAGCCTGGTCCCCAATTAATCTGATACCTGACTGCATTCCCCCCATCCTCTTCCATTAGTGTTGCTGCTCTGTGCCTACATTTTATTTTTTGACCTCTACTCTTCTACCTTTTTGGTTTATATTTTTGTTAAATACATTTGTAGTTCATAATATACAAACTAAATTTATTAAGGATCAACCGGTGTTAAATACTTCAGTGTCAAAGGTCTACATTTAACTCTTTAAAGCAACTGAAGAAAGAAAATGGGTCATTAGAAATTTACCATACAGGAATGGTCATGGTAAAAACAGATAAGAAAAACAGACTTGCCTCAGTTTTCACAGAGAAAGAATGGGAAAGGGATAGCATGTCAGAATGGAACACTGTCAGGTTAAAAATAATGTAGTCAAAAGACATCCCAAGTTACTCTTTTGAATTTTAAAGGGGAAAGAATCCCTACAAGTGAATGTATATCTAGAATTGGCAACGGCTTATGAAGGGTGGTTTGTACCTCTGATCAGTCTGCTGGGAAGCATTGAGATTTACTGAGGTGTAAAAGTAGTACAGGCTAGAGGCTTTCACAGGGATTCTACAGTGAAAGCAGCCATATGAAACAGATGATTTATGATCTTTTTTTAAGTTTAGAGAATCTTGTGCAAGTGGATTGGGGATTACTTTTCATATGGCTCTAATTGCTAAAAAGTCCCATATGAGAACACAGCCTCATGGCCCCCACTGAACAAAAAAGGCTGAGGATCATGACGTGATATCCAAGAGGTATTGGGAGCCAGCTGGTGAGGACCATACTGATAAGACTTTTGGGAGGATGGTTGTTTTTACCCTTTAAATGCATTACCTTCTTTTAATTAAATAGATGTTTCCCCTAGCTTCTCATAAAATCCAGACTTATACCACAACGTCACCTATTTCTTTTGAGTTTTGTTTTAACTCTGGGATAAGATTGTTTTTTTCTGAAAAATAATTATTTTTCTTTTTTTTTTTCAGATGACAGTGTGTTAGAAGGTGAATGAGTATTAATAAGTTCCCATCATTTTGGGGGTCATATTTAAGGGGACTAACTTTATTTGTTGTTGTATTCAGAGCCTTATGATTTCACAAATATCCTCATGAATACATTCAAAAGAAAAAACATGCAAAATGTTAAACTATTCCAGCAACAGCTTCCCAGATCTGTCTTTCACTCTTGTCCCTTAGTGATTTAATCCATAGTTGCAGAACAGAGATTTCAGTAAGCTATGCATCCTTATTGTTACCAGGAATATTTATGCTATCAGTTCCTGTGGCACCATTTTAACATCTTTTAATTTCTACTTTGCAGTGAAAAACTGAGAGATAGTATACTCAATTTTGCAAAAGCCCCTGGTTCTTTAAACTAGAAAAGACTCACATGTTCACTCTTTCCATTCTTTAAAAAAGAATTGCAAAAAGACACCTGAATAATCCTCCTCATATTCTGATCGCCCTTTACTTCCCTCTGCCAGAGAAAAACAGTTTAATTTTATCAATACAGAAAAAAAAAATAGTAATTTATGGGATTCCTGCCCACGTAAATCTTTCTCAGAAATGAGGTCTAGACATTCCTCTTAAACTCCCGGCAGTAATTCCACCTGCTTGTTTACCAAGACTGTAGATTCCTAAATACACCAGTCATTCTTTATTTAGTATTAAATTCCTAAAACTGAGTACTCTACTTACCCATCTGTGCTCAGAAATGTCCTCTCCGGGGATATTACTAAATATTACTTCCTCAGCGCTTCATTGAGAACTGCCCGTAAGTCCAATAAAGCTGAACAAATTAGGAACGGTCAAGACCACAGCAGCTGATCTTTTTAGTATCAGTCATCAATCAGAGCACTTTTGCATCTGAACCAAATGTAGGGAGTGGTTGAATCCAATTTTCCAGCCTTCCAGCTTTGGAGACATGCAGCACAGTGAAAACACTCCTGCTGCCTCTTCTCCCACAGTTAAGTGACTGTGTAGTTGCCAAACATAGGAGGCCAGCAGACCAAACAGGAAAAAAAGAAGACAGAGACTGATTCAAGGTCCATAGGGAATTCATCAAGAGGTTGGGAAGACCTAGAATTCCAGTCTCTATGGCAGTAGGAGCCAAAATGGCACATAGTGCATTCACACTGTACATATGAATAGGAAAGTGAGCTGCTTGATTTTCAAGTATCACCACCTCCAGTTTCATAAATAGTTCATCCTCGATGTGCAGGATGTGGCAGGAAGCCTGCACAGATGAACAAAGAGCACCTAATTCAATTCAGATTTAAAAAGGAAGCATGCAAAGGGTAGAAATAGGGTCAGGTGATGCAGGAGGTGATAGAGACACTGTCCAAGTGTTCAGGGAAAGGCTAGGAAAGCTAAAGCCCTTTGGAGACAAATCTAATAAGGAGCACAAAGGGCAATGAGAAGGACTTCTTACGTATGTATCAGCAGCAAAAAGAAGACTAAGGAAGTGTGGGCCTGCTGCTGGGTGGGACAGGAGAGCTTGTAACAAAGGACATAGAGAAGGAAGAAGTAGTTAATGCCACCTTCTCCTTGGTCTTTATTTTTAAGACCAGTCTTCAGGAATTCCAGGTCCCTGAGACCAATAGTTAAGTCCAGAGCAAGGAAGATTTACCCTGAGTTGAGAAGGGGTTATTTGAACAAACTGGGCATACACATGGGACCTGATGGGATGCACCCACCATTGCTGAGGGAGCCAGCTGATGTCATTGTGGGTCAGTCTCTATATCTGAAAGGTTGTACTGACTGCATAAGGGGACTGGAAGAAAGTAAATGTCACTTCCGGCTTCAAGAAGGAAAAGGAGAAGCCAAATAACAAACCAGCCAGGCTTACCTCAGTTCCTCAGAAGGTGATAAAGCAGATTTTCCTAGAAGCTATTTCAAAATATATGATGGAGAAGAAGATAGTGATTGAGAGCAATCAGCACAGAACTGTGAAGAGGAAATCATACTTGGCCAGCACTGCAGCTTTCTACAATTCTCTAACTTGCTCAGTGGATAAGATGAGAAGGGCAGATATTATTTATCTTAATCTTAGCAAGGCTTTTGACACTGTCTCTGATCACATTCTCATAGATAAACTAATGAAGAACGTGCTAGATAAACGAACAGGAAGGTGTGTTGAAAACTAGCTGAACAATCAGCCTCAAATAGTTGGTATCAGCAGCAAAATTTCAGCTGGAAGCCAGTCACCAGTGAGTCCCCCAAACCTCACAGAGGCAATATTCATTAACCTCTTCATTAATGACCAGGATGCTGGGACACAGAAAAACTTTAGCAATTTGCAGATGATACATAATTGGGACTAGTACTGATACACAAGACAGTTGTGCTGCCATTTAGAGGAACTTCAACAGGCTGCAGAAATGGGCTGGCAGGAATCTCATGAACTTCAAAAAAAGCAAATGCAAAAGTCTTGCACCTGGAGAAGACTAGTCCCCTGCATCAGGTATGGGATGAGGCAAACCAGCTGGAAAGCGAATTTGAAGCAAGAACCTGGGATTTCTGATGGATGCTAAGCTGAGTATGAGGCAGCAATGTGCAGCAAGTGCAGCAAAGAAGGCCAACACCCTTCAGGGCTACATTAGAAAGAGTACTGCCATTAGGTCAAGGGAGGTGATCCTTCCCCTCTCATTCACACTGAGAGAAGGAGACATATCTGCAATTCTGTGTCCAGCTCTGCACACTCCAAACAAGGTAGATGTGGACATACTGGAAGGGATTCTAGCAAAGGGCCATGAATATGATCAAGGGACTGGAACATTTGACATAATAAGGAAAGGGTACTAATACTGATTGCCCTGGATAAGTGACGGCTCAGAGAGGATCTTATTATTCTCTATAAATACCCAAAGAGAGGAAAATCAAGAAAAGGAAGTCAGACTCTTCTTGTTGATGTCCAGTGGCAAGAATTAAGGCAATGGGCACAAAATGAAACACAGGAAATTTTGTGTAATTGTAAGGAAAAAAATTTTTTTAACTATAATAATGATCAAACACTAAAACAGGCTGGCCAGAGAGGCTGTGAATTTTCCATCCTTAGAGATATTCAGAACCAACTGGACATAATCCTGAGCAATCTACTCCAGATGACATTGCTTTGAGTAGAGGGGTTGGACCAGAGGATCTCCAGAGATCCCTGCCTATCTCAGCTACTCTGTGACTCTATAATACAACGATACTAATACAAATTACCAAAAACAAACAAACAAAACTTAAAAGAAAAACAAAACAAAACAAAACCAACAACAAAAGCCCAGCTGCCGCAGCCCGGTGAAAGGAGAGACAACGGCAGCACAAGGGGTTCTTGCTCTGTCGTAGGTGTTTATTAACACAGGGACATGTGAGGGTACAGAGTCAAGGGCACTGTCCCTGACTGAGGGGAGAGCTAACCCTTATATAGGGTTCGGGGTGGAAGGATCTGGAAATTGGGAGGAGCATGGGACTGAACAACCAATGGGCATTCAGCAGTATGCATAACTTAACTAGGAGCCAATAACATGGAAGGAGGGAAATGGCAGGACCGCCCACACTGCGGCAAATCCTGGCCAATGAGGGAGAGGGAAACCTTGACCAATCAGGGAGGAGAAAATTCATGAGGGGACTAACATGTTCATACATGTCCAAATATAATATAACAAATATAACTGGGGTACAAACATTAAAAAGCATGCATTAACAGATAACATTATAAACATTAGTCAAACGACTATGGAACATTCTATTCATTTACGAATCAGGCCAAAACTGCCTGCAAACGTCCATGTTATTAGGTAAGAGTCCTTTTAGTATTTTTCATATATCGCACGCCATTTCTTGTATTCCTCTTGCTTCTTTCGTTTGTCCTCCGCACCCAGCAATTGACAAAACCCAACAAAACTAAAACCACAGCGGAAGTCTCATTGCTTTATGAGCACAATTTGGACTCAAATTAAGGAACAAGAAATAAAATTAATTAAACTATAATTCAAAGAAGGATCAACACTAAAAGGAAGAAACAGTGTAAAAACCTAGGAATGAAGAACAGAGCAGGAGCGTAAAATGGAGACTCTGGAATCTCTAGAGGACATCTCTAGATCCTAACATAATATGTTTTCTGATCCTACAGTTTCAGGAGCAAATTTGTACTATTTTGTTTTGACAATTTATGGACCTCTACTTGCCAGAAACAGCAGATCAACAGTAACTTTAAGTCATAGAATTATAGAATCCTTAAGGTTGGAAAAGACATCTAGGTTCATTAAGTCCGCTTCAGATGGTACTGTAATTGTCATGGTCTAGACTATGGTATAAACAGCTAGCAGTAAATCAGCACTTGAAGAATATGTGAAAAAACCCTCCCCAATAACATAATATTTTACAGTAAATGGCTTATAATGTGTGTTTCTTTCACAAACCTTATGTAAATGATAAAAAATGATTTTTCTTAAGCTTGAAAAGAGTTATGATCGCATCAAGATACCCATATTGCCTGCCAGTTTTGTATGAGTTTCTATAGCATTTCTACAAGGGCCAAACCACAATAACCAACCTAAATAACATCCTTTGGAACCTTATATGTGCCTTGCCTACAGCTGCTCTATGTGGCTCACAGTGCTTTACCATGTATATGGCTCAACTGAGATGACTGAACTCCAAGCTTCTATTAATAACACACTAAAATGATATTTCCTCTCTATGAGTTCCTGAGCAGTTGTTCCATCAGAGCCTGTCATATGAAATAGTTTAAGGGGTTGCTGGAAAAGGAACTGAACGTTTCTGAGATTGGAAGTGGTTTCTGTCACTGATTATCTTACTTGGTTCTTTTATATTCAGGCTGAGTGTGAGATTTCCTCTGGGATTATTCATTATCTGCTCCAAGCCTTGGCTTCACAGCACAAAATAGAAGTAAAGAGGAGGACTAGGAGAGAAAACTGCCTGTGACATTGCAGTGAAAGAGTCCATGGCCATCTGGCCTTAACTTTTGATGTCTCTTAAAATATTTCACTTTATAGTGGAAAAAAACCTATATGACATAATTCCACCATCAGTAGAAACCCACATGTTAGTACATGGACACTAAAGCATCTTTTCACTGCAACTTTTGAGCGCAAATGTGTAGTTCCTTACCTTGTTGATGTACCAGGGATGGGACGTCCCGTATCCACCAGAACACACCAGCAGTAGCCTGTGGAAGGATGGCACTGCACTGGTTTGTAGAGGCCACCCTGAGCACACTCTGGAATGAACACATTGTCTTTCTGGGGCTGTTTAGCTTCCTCCAGGGCTGACTGAAGTTCTTGATCACATGACGATGCTTTTGGATAGAAAAGAAGAAGTACTGAAGAAGCTGGACTGGAAGGGTCTACTAGATTTATTAAACAGTTTTTATATCTTTGATTACATATAAGGATTGTGTTTGAAGAGTCTTGTTACAGCTCGTTGGTTTAGGCTGCGTTAGAAGCTTTAGTTTCCTTTTCATGCAGCTGTTTCATACTATAGTCCTAATAATATCTTGAACACTCTCTTTCCTATAGGTGATCTATGGATAAACAAATACTTTCTCTGTGACCTTAAAAAATCCTCCTCCACTTCACAGTCCCTAAACTACTGATTGTTTTCAGAGGGAACAGTAAAAATCCAGCATCTTAGGATTTCTTAAATAGATTGTTCATCAAGAAATTAATTTAGATTTTTATATTCTGCTCTTTCTTTCCAGTTTTGGAGCAACCTCTTAACACAGTGACAATTCTTCCACATTCTTTGCTGGTGATTCTGGTACTGGCAATGTGTCATTTGCTCTGGAGAGCAAAGACCCACAAGAAAATGTAATACATTTTTATCTCATATTATCAATATGACCTAGATCTTTCTGAAGGTGCAAAAAACTTATGTATCTATGCATTCCCAGCCTTTTTATGAAACTATGAGGCAGCAGTGAAAGAGCAGAAACCACAGGGCCTAAGAACATCTGTCAGTTTGCAGCAGTCATTAAAATAACACCTCTGCTGAGGATTTTTGGTCACTGGTACATGTGACCATGTAAAGATAATGAGACAGACTATTTAGTCAAGCCATTATTTCTCCAGGGATTTTAGAGTCAGTCTCTTATCATGTGAAATTTAGATTGTTAATAATACAGCTTCTGTATATTTTTCAAACTATCCAGTGGGACAAAAAACCCTGACATATTTGAAAAAAAAGAATGTTAAGCACTCTACAAACACACAAATTACTCACAAGGAAATTTCAAGTTCTAGAATTTCATGTCCAGAATCAATGAAACTTCTGTCACGGGGGAAAAGGCTGTAGGAAGTTAAACACCTTCATATTTTAAATGGTACCTAATTCCATCTATACAATGTTCTGGTTTACAAAACAGTATGTTTTGTTCCAATCCATGTAAAAAGTTTAAAAATTAAGAATATGACTTGCTAACTTGATTATAAGGCACAGACAGACATGGTTGGCTGATTTTTTTTACTCTTTTTTTTCACATAGTATTTGAACAGGACATTTATATAAGTTGATTGATTTTATATGTTTTTGTCTTGGTCAATCCACTGACATAAACAGAGACTGAGTAGCTCTCAAAGTGCCAATGTTTAGATAATAAACTGTACTTAGAGAATCAGTATACTTGGGAGAGAAATGCTCCTTTAAAAAAGGTAAATAGGTAATTATTTGCACATTGAAATCTTTACAGAAATAGCTATGGTATCACAAATTAGAAATCTGTCACCAACATCCATCCTCTCAGAGTAGCCAAAATAAATCCTTCGCTCAGTGAATCTGGATTATGAAGATTATCAAGTAACAAGGTATGACAACCCTGGAAAACACATAATTTAACTTAGTTGTTAACTTTTTTTGTTTTGTATATAATCAAGTAAAAAAGAGTAAACTGAGTGAAGCAGCTGCAGTGAGAGGGAGGAAATCATTACTCGTCTTTGAACTCCACTCAATTAATTTCTCTTTCATACTGATAAACCTTGGGACCACACCATTAGCTACTGTGACCTTCTTTTGTTTTACAACCTTGTAACCAGCAACACAATCTGGCAGAAGTGCAGGTATTTTTATCTCTCCCAAACCCAGAGGATCAGTATGTTTTCACGCTTCCAGCTTTGTTTAGAAAATACATTGGCGTATAAAGACTACATAGTCAGGTTATCCAGGCAGACAAAATGTAGCAGAACGGAGAGGGTGTGAAGGAAAATTCCCTGTGCAGAAGCAGATGTTGACTGTTTCAGCTGTGAACATAAGATACACTGCCTAATTTCTGTGAAGCCCTAACCTCTACCAACTGAAACAAGCAGCAGAGGACTGCACAGCTGACTGATGGGCCAGTGCAGTCTCCTGCATTGTGGTGATTTAGGAGCTAATGTAAAGGACTTACATAACTGGTCTTTACTGATGGACTTGTTGAGGCAAGGTTTTCTACAAGCTGCTGTTCAAGCGAGAAATTTGTATCTTTTGTGCTAGGTCAGGTTTGTTCTGGTCCTTTTTCTCCCTTATGTCTAGTTTTAAATCTCAGAAGTACAGAAGAGCAGCATTATGGGAAACGTCACAGGAGGGCTGCAAAAGTGACTTAAGGTTTTAGAAGGGACAGTCACAAGACTGGTTGTACTTAGCATTTCAAGTGAGACTGGAAGCAGAGCAGAGAGTGACAGTAATCTAAGGAAAGTTTAAAGATAAAAAGGAAGGACTTTCACCTTCTTGGAACTTCTAATTTCTTAGCCTTCCCCTACAGATAGGAAACTGAAACAAGAAAAGGAACTTATTATTGGGCCTAAATTAGTAGTCAGATAAAATCTAGACTATTTTTGACAAATTAGAAAAAAAAAAATTAAGATGATGGGTACCATGCCTGTCAGTTCTCTATTAGCCAAATGACTAAGTCTTATTACAAATCTGCTGAACGCAGTTCATTCACTTTATTCAACAAAAGTGTACAATAGCTTATAATTTTTCTCCCTTATACAATGGCTAATTAACTTCAGATCAGCTACCAGACAATGTGCCTTGTGGCTGCCCAAGAGACCAATTTCTGAAGTCTAATGGTTTTGTACACTTTTCACATGACCATTTGTGCCACCATTACTGTTTCTTTATTTGTTTTCCCCACTAGAACACTGTTGCTACCTCAAAGAAAACTGCTCTAAAGTGCTTATCTATAATCCTGTCTGCTAGAGCCAGAATATTAGTTCTCTGTGTAATTTCCGCTCTGAGGGAACCATTCATTCCCTTTCAAACTTCGTTCAATTATTTACAACAGGAGTAGTGGAAAGATGGAATTGTAATCCTGTGGTGCTAAGAGCTCTTATCACAAGAACTACCATATCGCTGAAAATAATTGACTTTGTAATGTCAGAGGAGTCATGGTCAACAAATGTTCATTTCCCAGGAAAACCAGCGATAAATGTCATTAACTTAGAAAATGCCTGACAGTTTGTCCAAACAATCTGATGACAACTATGAACTGGAATCATAACAGATGGATGCCAGAAGTTCATAAAGTGAACAGTATGGAAAAAGACCTGTGCTACAAAAAAAGTAGCATAAGTACCTGACTTATTAAAATGCATCAACTTTCTAAGGCATGTATTACTACAATAACATTCCCTTTGGGAACAGAAAAGCACGGACACCCCAGCTTCTTCTTTTCAAGGAATGTGTTTACACTATTTTTATTTCATTCAGTTCCTTCAGTTTTGTCTTATTGGAAAAAAAAAAAAAGAAAAAAGAAAAAAAAAGTTTTCCAAGCATCTTAGTGAAAAAAATAGTTAGAAATGGCTGACAAATCCTTTCTGCATAGTCTACCATGTTAGTCAGCCATATTGTAACTCAGCTGGGATAATTTATTTCAGGTTAATAAACATTTCTGCAGTTTCTACCTAAAACTATGTTTTATTTTAGATTCATAAAAATTGGGGATTAAACATAGACATTTCAATCATGTAAGAAAGTATACCTTTTTGCTCTGTTTTACACCAAGAGCCTTTGAACCAGCATTTTAGAATTTTGAAGTAAAACTCTTGCTCACAACTAAGTGAATTTTAAAAACTGCTTTAGATATAATGTATGTTACTCTTCCTATGTCACAATGCTATTCCGTTTCTTCTCTTTTAAGGTTAATTAATAAATGCATTTTTTTGTGTTCTAGTTCAAGATTCCTTTATAGTCCAACCAGCTGAAATGCTGCATCTTCTGTCAATGAGAAACATACTTCAGCTAATGACAAACTCTGTGGATAAGTTTGATATTTTGTTTAAAATCTGGGGTCAATTCTTTTTTTTCCAGTTATCCCTAAGAAGACAGTCTGCATTTCAGTGAATCGAGTTCAAGTGAACAGAAAAGTAACTCCAGTAATAACACTGTAGATCCTTATTTATGAAAGACTCCATTTATTCATCTCTGACAGACTACCTAAACTGTTGATTAAGGTTAATTAGGGAATATCCTAGAGGAGAAAAGCAGTGATTTTTCTAGAAAAATCATCCCTAATAATGTATGAAACTGCATTTTTCTGTTGCACATTTAAAACACCAAGTGCTGTGCTATGTAAGTTATGATAATCTCCTTGTTAGTCTTGTAAGAGGAGATGTTTGGCCCCTTGTTTCAGAAATTCTGGCAGCTTTTCTGCTGTGTCTTATTACAACTTCTCCCAACATGTGGAATTTCATGATTACAAATTATTGGAGTTGGGGTTTTTTGAGTAAATGTAAATCGCTGTATTTATGTCTAAATTTCAGTGTGTTGTGCAAAAACAGCTTGTCAAATCTGCAGAAAATTACAAAGGCATCTGTATGGTACTTTACATTTCCTGCCACTATACAAACATTTCCTTCCAATTTCCTTAACCCTACAATGTGTATATGACAAACAGAATCCATTCCAAGAAATTCTGTTTTCAGTTGGTTCCTTTTCCCTCTTTTTCTCATTACAATAAATAGGCCATGAAAGAACAATATAGAAAGCTTGTTTCTCAGGGTAAATGGATCTTTTATTAAGGCTTGAATCTCAGTGTCCTCTATAGAAATCAGGTAACGAGAAACCTGTGAACAAAAATACTTCAAAAAGTGATATGCGTGTTCTAGAGGAATGTAGTGTAACATTACAGGCCGTTAATACTGCAGTTCTACCACACTTCTGGGAGGATATACAGACAGAATATAATCATGTCCAAATTTCACTATACAGAGACTTAAATTGTATGACAATTTCTGCTAATCAGAATGTTATTCAAATCATGTCTGTCCTAGTTAATGGGGCCTAACTTAAGCAGCCCTTTAGAACCCTTCAAATACTGATTTA